CGCTTTGTGCATGTGTGTGTGTAACAATCATAGCAATACTCCTGCTCTTTAGAGCTGCTAGGCCTCCTAGTAAAGAAGTAGAGGATGATAAAGATGGAATGGTCTGTTGGAATGGGTCTAAGATGACTACAGCTGTTTTAGCTGCACCAAGCCCTTTTTTTTAAAATCAAACAAGCTCTTGATATAATCGCATCAAATAAATCAGTAAACTCCTGATGCAACTGCATCAAATCTAAAGACTCCTCAGCATAATCATTAACATTAACAGGTTAACATCATAATTCTAGTATGAATATTACTATACACAATTAAAACTCTTACAAACTTACATCCAAAAGCAAATTCTCAATAGAACTATTTACATTTTACAAATTTTAGCAAACATGTAAGAGCAATCTCTTAATAGAACTTTACAAAACATAGGGTACATTAACACAGACTAACATTAACCCACTCAAGGGACAAGAAATATTTTTTTTTAATTTTAAAGAGACTGAGGAATATTAACTCCCCCTTTTCTTTATAATTTTTAAGTTGCATCTTGAACCTGGATAGAAAAAACAAATTTCCTCATTTCTACATAAACAGTTACATTTTTTACACAAAACAGTTCCATAAACAGTTCCATTCATGCACCAAACAGTTTATGAGTCACCACAGTTAATAAAAAAATATATGCACACACAAAACAATTCATAAGTCATCACAGTTGATAGAGCCTATATGCATAAGTAAAGTCAGAATTGTACCATTGCAATTGAATCACTCCTGTCCATTCCATTTCTTAGGTCTGAAAAGTTAAAAAAGACAGTTCTGGTAACAGTCTTAAAAGTTCCTCTGAGTGCTCAAAATCAGGGCCTGGCTTGTCAGCTACCCTGAAGTCCCTGTACAGCAGTCCAAGTCATAATGACTCTGAAGAAAACAGCTCCAAATATGAGGAGTCCCATAACCAAAACTTTTTTGCAGTTTCCCTTGCATGAAACCCAATTCAAGCAAGTGTCTCTGAAGCCTTGCTCTGAGCTACAGAGGCACTTTGTGTCAGCTTTCCCCTAGGCAAAAACTGCTCCAGGGCAAAAGCTGCTAGCTGAGCTGGTGCAGAGTCCTCTCTGAGAAAGCACTCCTTGCATCCAGCATGAACCACAAAGCTGTCTCTCAAAGGAGCCATGCACTGGCCCACTGCCAGCAAACAGAAACTGCATGGCCCTATCTGCTGTTTCCATTCAGCTTTTATAGTCTGTCTGTGCCTCCAGTAACTGGATGGAGGAACCCTGTGTCCTGAGGTCCTGAGGGTACTTTTACACCTTGCACTGAATGGATGAATGCTGCCTGCTGCTACATGCCCTCAAGCATCACCTCAGGTCCAGGAAGAAAAGCAGCCATGGCCAGTTGTGGCTGCTGAACCTTGGCTCCCATTACCAGATTTGCTGCCTTGCTTACAAGGCCAAATGCTGCCTCAGTTGTGCCCTCCCAGCCCCCCCCCCCTGCCCCCAGGCGCCCCACATTCTGCCACTGGGAGCTAGGGCTGCATCAGTCTCAGCAGTTCCCACAAAGACCGTTCTAACTGTTCAGCCTGGAGCTCTGTTCTGCCTCTGCCTCTGCCTCATCTCCACAGCTCCCTAGGCTCCAGCACATCTCAGCTGCTCCTCCAACTGCTTCTGCTCATGTGGTTGATGTTACTTTTCTGCCTGGGGCAGCAGTCTCTCTGCTGGGCTTCTGCTGCTCAGCACTGCTCTCTGTTAGCCTCTCCGGGGATGATTTGCTGGACTCTGGCTGCCAGGAACTCTGGCTCCAGGTGACAGACCTGCCTTGGCCACTGGGGTCCAAAGCCTCTGCTACACTCCTAGCCTCCATGTGCCACCATTTGTCTCTCTCACTGTGTGGTGTCTCTGCTTGGCTTGTCAAGGTTGCACCTTGGTAACCTCAAGCCATGTCCTTCTGCTGGCTAATTGCATTCTCCTCACTTCGACTCAGCCATGGCAGAAGGCATGCGGAACCCTGCTGTTTATGCTGGCTCTCAGGGTCATTGGCAGCTTCTGGAACTTCTAAAACCACTGGGACTGCTAAATTCACAGTGGCTGTTAGGTCCTGTCCATGCTTTGGTGAGGGCAAAAGCTGCTATGCCAAATTACTTTATATTAAACCTTCACCATATTCCTAGACCTAAAGCCTATATTCTCCACCTTCACCAAGACTTTTTTACAGCTTTAAAACTAACTTAGTAAATAGATAAAAACACAGAGAGATGCTTGCGGCAGCATAACTCTTAAAACTTGGCTTCATACTTACAATTTTACTCCCAAAGATTAGAATATCACCACCTCCTTTCATTAATTACTAGGCATGCCCCCTGCTCCGCAGAGTTCCTTCTTTCTATCCTCTGTATCTAAGTCCCATGTTCAGGGCGCCATCTGTGGGAGTCTGTGGAGTCCAGCTCCAACCTGCTCCCACCTTTTGAAGGATTCTTAGGTGGAGGAGAGAGGAGTGAGGAAATGTCAGAAAGAAAGAGAGACCTAGCCGATGAGAAGAAAGACAGAAACACAGGATAGCTTTGGGAAGGTCTGGGTCAATATCCAACAGCCTTGAGGTTTATTCAAAAGGGCTTTTTATAATATGCCAAGGGGAGCGGCAAAAGACTTCCCCCTTGTAAAATCAAAGTACACCATACAGCCAAATGTAGACCCTCCCAAACACCAGGTAATCACGCCTATGGTCAAATCATCCCATTATACATCCCTGCTAGGTAAGTCAAGCTCAGATTCTCTGACCCCGAGTAAGTTTTCTTTAGGAAGCCTCTGTGGGCTCCCACAGGTCTCTCACTGGCCTGGGGCTTGCTGAGTTGGTTAAGCAGGTAGTCATCCAGCACCAGGGATTCCCCTGTTTTTGTCTCCCTAGTCCTAGGATTACAAACACACAAGCTTAGCTTTTGTACATGGGTTCTAAGGGTAGAGCTTAGGTCCTTCTGCTTGCTTGCACAGTAAGAGCTTCACTGGCTAAGCCATCTCCCCATCTCCAAACTTCTGTTTTGTAGAATTGTATTCTTACATGCAAATATCATAATTTAGACATTTTTTGTGTACTCCAACTTTTTATATGTAGGACATTCACTCACTCTTTACTTACTACTCAGTGACAATCTACTATTTTATTTACATGTTTGAGGATAATTTGAACAGGGAATTTTATCAGAATTGCAATCAGAAGCATAGCATGGAACAGTGTCCATAAAAAGGGACTGTGTCTGTGTGTAAATACTGACTTTTGTTCAGTTCATGAACGGCTTTGTATGTCCCCTTAGGGAGCATGTATGGCCCGGATGCTTGATGGTTTCCTGAACCAGCACGTGTTTATCAACGCACTTAAGGTGAGTTGCTAAGAGTGTTACCCAACTAGCAGCAAACATAAATGGCTTTGGTATCCTATTGCCTTAACCCCAATTCTTCTGTTTTCACAGTCATATTTGGAGACATTTTCTTACTCAAATGCTGAGCAAGACGATCTGTGGAGACATTTTCAAATGGTAATTGTCCTTCTTTGAGACACTTTCTTGCTGAGTAACATCGTCTGATACAGTACAAGAGCAGGAGGCCATGGGTGAACAGGAACATAACTTTTCCCTATTTCTAAAACCCCCTTCCCTGTACTTCTACACCCCAAATAGAGAGTGACCTACTAGGTCCCTAAATATGTATGTGTTCAATGAATAAATGGATGAATGAATAAGTAATCATTCATATTGCCAGTCCTCTGTGTTTGTGGTTCCATATCTGTATATTCAGGCAATCCAAGATGAGAAATAGAAAAAGTTCTGTTTGTACTGAACATATATGGACTTTTCTGAGGCCATTAGTGTGGTGGTATTCTAATTGTACTGAAATGTGATTTTGATTGTATGTTAATAAATAAAGTTGCCCAGGGGTCAGAGCTATTAGAGCCATAGACAGAGTGTGGCGGTGGTGGCACACGCCTTTAATCCCATAGATCTCTGTGTGTTCAGGGATACAGCCAGCATTGGAGACATATGCCTTTAAGACCTAGGGGGCTGTACATTCAGACAGTGACGAGGCAGTCACGTGTTTGGGTTTACAACCAATGAGAAGGCAGAATGACTGGAAAATCGACTTACACACAGGAAATAGCTCTTTTTTTTTCGGGAAGCTGGGACAGCAGGAGGAAGGGTGAGATTTTAGCTCTGAGCTCTGACCTCTCGGCTTTCTCTTTTACATTGTTTCTGTGTTTCTTATTTAATAAGACGGTTGGTTACATCTACACATTAGTCCCCCAAACAATACAATGCAATAACTATTATGTTCACATACCATTTGCATTGTAAAGATATTACAAGTCACCTGTAGATGACTTGCAGTACCTGCTTACATAGAAACACTGCTCTATTTTACATAAGGGCATCAGCATCCATGGATTCTGTTCCCATGAGTGTCCTGGAAAAAAATCCCCTCCCAGATACCAGAGGGAAAGCCATGTATCGATAAACGGTTCTGAATATCAACCACTGAGGATTATTATATAATGAAGTAATAGGATAGGATGGTTGTTTCATTTCTTTGGGGGAGATTGCTGCTTCACAAGGTCTTGCTGATGAACCATGTCTGTCTTTTGTTATGATTTTTTTTTAAATCAGGCCATAGATGAGCAGAATATAACCCATTTGCCAACAACAGTGAAAAGCATAATGGACAGCTGGACATACCAGGGTGGTTTTCCAGTCGTCACGTTAAACGTGTCTACGGGTGTCATGAAACAAGAGCCATTTTATCTCGAAAAGGCTGAAAATCGAACTCTTGCAAACCACAAGTAGGTTATTTTATTCATCTGTCATCACCAGGCTTGGGGTTGAGCAACGTTGGGATGGAAACCCACCAGCAGTGAGGAAGTGTAGCACTTGCGGGGCACATGCCCTGCCGCTGGGTGACTCCCTGAAGGGATGGCGCTGTGTACGAACTAGGGTGAGGCAGAACCCTAAATACCAAGCAAGGCCAGAAGCCTGCAACTAGGGATCAATGTGTGCCCTTACCTGGGACTTAGTCATGTGGGTGACCAGACCATTAGAATTCTGCTTGTTCCTCTTGGTCTGTCAGATGTAATGAATTACTTGAGATTCAGGTGAGAGACAAGAAGATGTCACCAGTGGCACAACTTTTCAGGAAAAAAAAAAAGAGGGTCCTGTTGCAATCTTTCTCCTAGACATAGAGCCAAGAGGTTGCTGCCTCCTTGAGGACAGGGCTGTGCATATGTATGTGTTCGCGTTGTGAGATGTGCGTGCATGTGTGTGTATTTAAGGCCATATCTTCAACTTTAAAATGATAGCCTTTAGACCTGATTCAAACACTGTCTTCCACAAAAGTCAGACTGTGTGTAGGTCTTATTGAAGTTCTTTGAGCTTCATTTGCATTGTCTGCAACATAAATAGAATGGGGGCGGGGCATGTAAAAATGCAGTGGTGAGTGCTAGCATGCCACTCACCACCTTCTTCCTTCCTGCCGTCTGTTTCTTCACCGATTTGTTAACTTGCAACTGTTTTAAGTAATTTTGACCCTCCCATCTCATTGTAGTAGATATCAGCATGAATGGATGGTTTTTCTTTTTTCTTTTTCTTTTTCTTTGTTTGTTTTTCAAGACAGGGTTTCTCTGTGTAGCTTTGGCACCTTTCCTGGATCTCACTCTATAGACCAGGCTGGCCTCGGAATGTAGATCTGCCTGCCTCTGCCTCCCGAATGCTAGGATTAAATGCGCATGCCACCACTGCCCGGCGGATGATTTGTCAAATCCTATAAAACGTCTCAAGAAAGGGCTAGCAAGATGGCCCAGTGGGTTTGGCCCCAAGTTTGGTGACATGAATTTGATTCCTGAAATCCATGTTACAGGTGGAAAGAGAGAACTAACTCTAAAGAGTTGACCTCTGACCTCCACACATGTGTTGTGCTACATGTGTACCGCCTCCCACTTCGTGCTTGCGTGCGTACACACACACACACACACACACACACACACACACACACACACACACACACACACTAACAATAATAACAACAAATCAAACAGTCCTAATCTTTCTTCAAAACCCCAGGGGAGAGAAACCGAAGGCCAGTAGACCCTGCACTATACTATTCTGAGTCTTTGGAGAAGTAGGCGGAGTCTTAGGTGTGCAGATAAACGCAGACTCATAGCTGAAGGACTAAGATGCCAGGTGTGAGAGTTGGAAGAAGACTGGAAACAATTGCCTGAACTATGTGTCTTTCCTAATGACTAATGCAGTTCTTGTGGTCAGCTGATCCATCCAGTTCACGTTCAGTAAATACAAATGTCGCGGCTGATGCCTGTGGACATGTTTCAGGTGGAGATGAAAGTTTGAGGCTCAGAAGTGTTTTTGAAATGTTGGCAAGCTTTTCCTTTTTAAGCTACCCTTCACCTCTCTGGGCATGGACAGATTTGGGTCTGCCTGAAGCATTTGAATAGCCCAGAGTGAGGCCAGGTGGCTATAATTTAGTAAAATCAGCCCTTCCACATTTCAGACAGAAGGCAGTCTCGGCAACTGTCTATGTTCTAAGAGGTAAGTCTGTAAGAGACAGCAAGAGGGAAGATGATAAAGAGTGAAAGCAACATTGGCTGACAGAAACAGCAGCAAGTAACCCCAAGAGCAAAGCCCGAGTGCCTGCCGGGATTGACCGTGGCCTCGGAGGCCCGCTATTCTGGCATCTCTTTAATTTGGGCGGAGTGTATATTCTTGTGTGTGAAAATAGCTAATTCTTTTCTTTTTTTCCCAAAAAGTAACACATGGATTGTCCCTATTTTTTGGATGAAAAATGGAACCACACAACCTTTAGTCTGGCTAGACAAGAGCAGCAGTAAGTAAATGTGTGTGTGTGTGTGTGTGTGTGTGTGTATTATATATACATATATATACATCTTCATATATATACACATATAAAAGCAGAGATAGACATTTTGTTAAAATGTTGAGTTTTTGAAAACCTGATTGTTGAACGCAGAGCTTTAAAGACATTCTTTAAATTAAAAGTAATTATACATGAAAATGTAGCTATATGGCAGACCAATATATACTTGAGAGCTATCTTAACTTTTATTTTATTGGCTAATTGTTTAGAAGTGTGGATGTATTATATTTTAAAAAATGTACTGAAATCTTTTTAAGAACCTTTCTTTTTTTTTTTTTTTTTTTTGGTAGTGGTATTCCCTGAGATGCAACTTTCAGATTCTGACAGTGACTGGGTGATTTTAAACTTCAACGTGACTGGATATTACAGAGTTAATTATGATGAGTTAGGTTGGAAGAAATTAAACCAACAGCTTGAGAAGGATCCTAAGGTAGGGGCTGGTTTGGGTGTTTTAATTCAGCATTATCCACTGGAGGATGTGCTTTCTCTACCATCAATGATGGAGACAGTTTTGTATTCATTCTTAGGAAGGACTGATTTTGGGTGAATGTTTATTTTTGAACATTCTTCTTGTTTTTCCAAAATAAGTCTACCTTTTGAAATGAGAATCAGAATATATTTTCCTAAGTTATTTCACTGCTTGACTCTATTTTTCACTTTACAATGAAAATATCATTTGTTGAATTCATCATGAGTGTTAGAGACCGTGTAGGTAAAGCTGTATGTAAGGTTTCTAAGCTACAATTGGTACATAGTATATGCTAAAAATTGTTGACTTATATTCTTAAAAATATTCTTCTCACTCAGAGGAGCTAATTTAATTTCTGGAACATCAATAGTCCACTATCACTTTCAGTTATTTTTAAAAGCATATGAATCATGATTAAATCTATACATAGTAAATGGTTGGCCAGGTCATACCAGTCAATCTTTAGCTGATTGACATAAGCAAAGCTTAACCAATGAAGAACAGGGTTCAAAGCATGAGTAGGGAGGGATGCTGGCTTTGGAGTCTACACGACTTCATGTAGGACTTTGGGCAGTCCACTTAGCTGAAGTAAAATCTGTCCTGAGTTTCTCTGTTGGGGACACAGCAGCCTCCACAGGAGAGGACAATGTACATACAACACACTGGCCCAGAGTTTGGGCTATGGGTCAAGAGATGTCCGCTCATAGTTTTATGTATTGCTTACCTAAGGTGTGATATTGGGCTGGCATTTGACTAGTGTTTGCATTTCCTCATTTATATAGTGGTTTTAGTAGACTAATCTTACGCTAAGGTTTAAGGCTAACCTGAAAGTGTCCCTGTGAAGATGAGGAAAGATGATGCATTATGTTTAATGGAGGCCAGACACAACTCAGGTGCTCAGAATATGTTCAGTAACTTAAGAAAATGTTATTGATATTGATATTGATAAAGCTATTAAAACCACTTATAATATTTCTTCTTAAAACCTCTTTCAGATAAGTTAAATTCTTAGTGGCTTCTAATGATACCATAAAGGTACAAGATTCTATCATTAGGGCAATCATTCCCTGACACCATTGTAGACTGATTTCTGAAGCACCTAACTAAACTACTTCGGCAACACAATTGGTGACCAAATAAGACAGACTTAGTGTGACTCAAATGTATCTAGAAAATGCAAACGTTACAACTCCCACAACGAAATGAGACTATTAGCAAAAAGAGAACTAGGATTGGTGTACTCAAATGCTTGGGAGTGCTGGGAAGGTAAGTTCCCTTGGACCAAATGAAAGTGCTGGGAGGTGTTGGAGGAATGACTGGAGACTTGGGGAGTCTCAGAGGACCTAAGCTGAGGTTGCAGTTTGCGAGTTATTGGTATTGAGATGATCAGAGAGATGTCTATAGACTTAGGGTGGTTACTGCCCTCTGCCTCTCCATGAATATGGGTGCACTGGGTCACATCAGTGAAATCTTTAGAGTGCAGATACCATTTAAAATTACCCCTCAGTGCTACAAAAAATAGTGCTAAGTAACATTTATTTACGCCCTGCTATGACAAAACTTTCCTGAAAATAAGAAAGACATTGTAATAGCATTCAATATATATACACTCTCTGTTGGAGAAGTTTTTGAATGTCAGTTTCGGGGTCTGTTTTTTAACACGGTATGTTTTAGGGGAGTATTTTGGTAACATTTCTGCCAGGTTTAATCATTATAATTGATATCAGAAGGATTTCATCAAAACCACATACATAATCAGCAAATTATGGGGTATTTCATTTCTCTACCTATGAGACAATTTCTTAGGAAGGGATTTTTAGACACTGATGGTCTTGAACTTGCTGTTTGGAAAATATTTGCCTCCTTTCTTGACCATGTTTGGGTTTCTTTCTGCAGGCCATTCCTGTCATTCACAGGCTGCAGCTGGTGAGCGATGCCTTTGCCTTGTCTAAGTAAGTGTCTTTTCCGCTCTCACTGGTAAAGGGCGTGGCTTGAAAACTTCACAGAAATAATAACCTTGTGACTATGAAATGGTTCTTTAGTATGCGGAAGCCTTAACCAATGAAGAACAGAGTCCAAAGCAGAACATGGTTGCTCCAACCTGTGACTCAGCTCCTGGAAGACTGATGCAGGAGGATTGCTGTGAGACAGCAAAACACAAAAATAAAACCAAACAAATAAACTTAAGATTGGGCCAAATTCCATGTTCTCAGTGTGGACTTTTATGGCATAAATTGTTGTTGGCTATAAATAGACTAACAATTGATATTTTGAAGTTATTCAAAGGTGATAGCTTTTGATGTACTAGAATTGTTTAGGATTTTTTTTTGATGTACTAGAATTGTTTAGGATAAGCCATGCCACTGTTTAGCCAGAAATATATCCAAGATTTAAATTTTCAGGATACACACACACACACACACACACACACACACACACACACACACACACATATACATATATATTCTTTAATTTATATATTCTTTAGTACATATATTTATCATATAATAAATTACCTAGTGTGTCCTCCTTTATGCCTGTCATATGTGATGAGTATTTGCCATCTCTTTACTGATTATTCCCTCTGATACCTGTTGCTCAATGCTTAGCCGAAACACCTCTCTAGAGTCACTCTGGCTTGGACACCGCTGGCCACATCCTCCAAGAATCATCCTTTTGACTTCTTGACACTTGGATGCTAACCCTTGACTTTCTGACTTCACTTCTTTCTATCACAGTGAGCATCTTTAAAGCACAATTATGTTGCCTTCTTTTTTTTTTCCCCGTGGGATGACTCGTTTGGTCTGATAACTTAAGTGGTTGTTTTATTAGGTACAAGGCTCAGTAAGATGCTCAGTTGCTGGAACATAGGATGCTCGATTCTGTTCTAAATGGACGTCCCTCCCTCCTTCCTTCCTTGTCTTGTGTTTATCCTGTAGCCATTTCAATTCATTACCTTAACCACTAAATGCTATTTTCGTCTCTAAGTTGTCTCTGCTATTTATTATTCTCTCTCCCCCTCTCTCTTTCTCTCTCCCGTGTGTGTGTGTGTGTGTGTGTGTGTGTGTGTTTGTTTGTTTGTGACACAGTTCCCCATTGCCTAAACTTAAAACCTCAGAGACACCCTCCTGTCGCCTTTCCCACGCCTCACGCTCAGTCACTCAGCATGTCATATCTATCCACTCCTGGTGACGCCTTCTGAGTTCTCACCTTACTACTTCTACCACTTACATATTCAGCCGTTTCTGTCATCTTCCTTCCGGTCTCTTTCCTTAGCTTTCAGCCTTTCGTTCCTTTGAGCTCCCTTATGGCTTTCGGCACTGCCACAGTAGGAGTTCTAGGCATCAATTCTACCACATTACTTTGGTTGCTTAAAAAAACCTAGATTTCCATCGCAAGAAATCTTAACTCTTTGCCCTGATTTTCAATGGTCTCCTCAGGTTCGAACTACCTGATCTGTTTCTTTGTCTCTCATTAGACACAGAATGAGCTGATCCACTTGCTTTACCTCTCACTCGACATAGGACATCCTGCCTAGTGTCTTTGCCAGCCCACCATGGTGCTCCCCACTGCTTCTCCTTGGTCCCGTGCTGCCTCTCTGCCTTTTTCAATTACACGTGGCCTTCGGTGCTCTTCTCGGGTGTTTCTTTCTTGAGGCCTTCTCTGACTTCCTCTTCTCCCTGGGGTGTTTCCGTGTGTATGCTCTTGCTTTGGGAACCTTATTCTCAGGACTCAGCACCTTTTCTGTGACCCCTCCTTGACTTCCTAGCTACCAGCTGAACTCCTCAGTGATGCTCTTAGCTGCAGGCAACTGCAGTGTCGAATGCTGGCTTCTCTGCCCACCAGCAGATGGCAGAGCATTCATCTGAGAATGCTTATGATTGGTAACTACTGACTGGAATGTATATTGTCATAAGAACACAATAAATACTCAATATCCCATAACTCAACAGTTGGCTTGGGTTTTCTACAGCTTCTAGTGTGGGTGTGTGGATGAACTGAGTGGATACAAAGGTCTGGCACCATTTGTTGAGTTCTGTGTTATGATATCATCATACCCATAAAAGAAAGTCCCATCGGACTTTCGCCGCCCTTCTGCTTGGTTGGTTTACACATCTTGTTGAAGTTCGATGTTGAAAATGGAGCAGATATGGGAAGAGAGAAGATCTTTTAGCAGGTCAAGGTTTTTTGAGTGTGTGTTTTTTTAAACCAAACAGAAACAATTATATTGAAATTGAGACAGCACTTGAGTTAACCAAGTACCTTGCTGAAGAAGATGAAATCCTAGTGTGGTTTGAAGTCTTGGTAAACTTGATAAACAGGAGTGTTATTTCTGATGTGAACAACTATGCTATATACCCATTATTGAAGGTAATTTCATGCTTTGTTATGTGGCTTTTAAATCAACCCTCTTTGCCTCTGTGTTCTGGCCAGCATCTGTGGGTCAGGCCTTTCCAAAAGCAATGTTCTATTTATTCCAGATGTTTGCTGATTTATTATTTTTTAGCTATAACTGATTATTCTTAGAAGAAAAATCTATTAGCCATAGACCTCGCCTTAGAGATGAGTGGAGGGAGAAGCTTGGCAGGGTTTTTGATGAAGTGATAGTATATCCAGAAAGAAAGAAAGAAAGAAAGAAAGAAAGAAAGAAAGAAAGAAAGAAAGGAAGGAAGGAAGGAAGGAAGGAAGGAAGGAAGGAAGGAAGGAAGGAAGGAAGGAAGGAAGGAAGAAAGAAAGAAAGAAAGACCCAGAAGTGGTAGAAATTATATATCTTCTTCTTAGAGAAAAAATAATATATATTAGGAACAATTTCCCAAAGAAATTTATAGGCAAACAAATAGTTTCTTATCAAACCCTGTTCTCATAATCCTAACTTGTGTCTTAAGGGTTCAGCAATTTCAGCCTACAAAATATGTTGCAGAAAAAAAAAAGAGTTTCAAAGTTTCTGTCGATATTAGGAAGAGAAAGATGGAAATCAGCACTTATGAATGAAACAATGGCATGCTGCTCTCAAGAGGGGTTAGAAAAATGAAAAATTCCCACCAGTAGCTCTTAAATAGGATATGGAAGAAAGACATCAAGACTGAGATCAGAGTAGACACTTAGAAGTAACCCTCTGGACAGTCAAGGTCCACAAGCGAACCAGAGAGTGGGGATTGCAAGTGAGTGTCTGGGTCATTCTGAGGGTGATGCTGTTAACACCCCAGGTTCCAGGTGCTCCTTTTTCTCGTCTCCAGAGGAATATAGGGAGCTTAACTGAGTGTAGGCAGGGTGGTGACAGGAGGCTTGCTGGCCTCTGATGACGGGTTTTGGCCAGTACAAACTGAGAGTTTTGGTGGATCGATATAGCATCTAGTTGTTTCTCAGTAATGTTAATGACTGCCTGACTTTTGTAGCCTCGTGTTTACCAGCTGCTAGCATTTGGGCTGATAGCAAATGACAGCAACTGCTGACATTCTAGGCTCCCACCTTTGTGCCCTCTCTGTGGTTTTATGTGCGAAGCAACCGAACCCGCAGAAGTATAAAAATAAATCAGTATATTTAGTAACAAAGATCATTTCTGAAAAAGCCTGTTGTTTCTTTATTAATGTGTTTCAGATAAATAATAATACACTGGGAATTCAGTGTTGTGTGCCAGAAGTAATGGTAACTTTTCTTTGTGATTTATAGAAGTATTTACTAAAGAGACTGAACTCAATATGGAATACTTATTCAGCTATAATTCGAGAAAATGTTGCCGCATTACAAGACAATTATTTAGCTCTGTAAGTATTTTTACATGGTCATAACTGTATAAAAATACACGTTTTTAACAGGAGGAAGAAACAACCTTCTTAATGGGTGGGCCTCCACAAAGCCCTGCTTCCCCCATCTTCCTCCCCTTCATATGATACATTAAATCTTACTGAGAGACACTTGTGATACTTCCCCTTCCTTTATCCATCACTGAAAAACTGATGTGTTACTAGGGACACAGGGCGTGAGGGCTTAGAACTGATTAGAGATGAGGTTCATCCTCAATGTCCTTCCAGCCTGCTAGTTTCTAACTAGTTACCTCTCATTTCTCCGCATAACTGTTAGCAAGAGTTGTACCATGACACAAATATGAGTAGGTGGACAGTAAGTACTGAAGGGTCACTTGTATGTGACCATGCTTAACTACTGGAAATGACTGTCCTATGGGGAGTAAGTACATTTTCATGATGATTCAGGAAGGAGCTGAAAGGCAACATGGGGCTGTGGTACCTCTGTTTCGTTTGTGTATGTGTGTTGGAATTCTAGACTTGGAGGTGGGTGGTAGCCAACAACTGTAGCTACAGCTTCTAGAAACATCGAACCTAAATCAATCAGACCAAACAAGAAATAAAACTACACAGAAATATGATCATTCTTACTAAGGAGTATCCTGCTGAGGGAATAGAAATTAGTGCCATAGGCTGCAACTAGAAGTCCATAGAATTGGATAGGTAAGCATGTAGACAGTGTGTGTGTGTGTGTGTGTGTGTGTGTGTGTGTGTGTGTGTGTGTGTGTGTGTGTGTGTCGAGGGCAAATTGTGTGAACGAACAGGAAGGCACAGATGCACCCAACCGTGCAGCCCATGTGTTAACCAGACACAGTCTAGGCTCTCGGAAAGCAGACTGGAGTAGCTTACAGTTGGTAGCATCCCTGGCCAGTGTTTCTCCTCCAGCAACTTCTGGGAAAGGCTGATTTTTACAGAATCCCATCTTGTTGCAGCAAGCCCAAGTTTGGGCTGGGTGGGGAGAGGGAGTGAACACATAAACACATTTCTAAGAGTATCTGTCAGGGGACCTCTACCCATGCACACCCCGAACTGCTTATCACAGCATCAGATCAGGCTGAGTTGAGATGGAGGGTGGGGAAAAATGGCATTGGCTCCTTTGTTTTGGGTCTGGCTTCTTTTGCCCAGACCCCAAACTTAACAGCTGTAGCAAGACACACAACGAAGCATGGCTTCCATGTGTTCATTCTTGTTCAGGGCCCTTCTTTGAACTCATTTTGAACAGTAATGCAGACCCGTGCTTAGCTGTAAGAACAAAACAAACTCCTCTCTTTCTCTTTGGACGTACACACAGTAATTGACAGGAGGAAGAACCAGATGCTTAGCAAGGAAAGCAAATTGTACTGGGGGAGAAAGGAACTTTTCTTGAGTAGAGAAAGCATTTTATTTCTAAGCATATTAGATCGGATACGCTAAGGATATTTTTAATCCACAAAGGGATTATCGAAGAAGAGGGAGAGAGTAAATTGACAACAGATGTAGAGTGTGTGCACACCCATGTGTCTTCAGGGGAGATAAATGACGGCAATCATTTAATTCTAATTTCTAAAAAATACTATTTGTTAGGAGCTTTTCTGGTGTCCCTAAAAAAAAAAAAAAAAAAAAAAAAAACCTCTCTGAAAATGTTTTTCTGAATCTTTAATAAATTCGCCATCAGAAAAGCTATTTTTTAAAAAGCAACTCGATGTTGCTAGAGGATATTTTTAAGTTCTCACTGTCATGTGCAACACACATTCTTAGAAGCAGAAAAAAATGAAGGTGATAATTCAACATTAACAGCTTCTCTTTGGCTTTTTCTTCAAGGCTGTCACTGGAAAAATTTGTTGAAACTGCTTGTTGGTTGGGTCTTGAAGACTGTCTCCAGCTGTCCAAAGAGCTCTTCAGAAAATGGATGGCCGATCCAGAGACTGCGTAAGAGATACAGTGTAGGCCCCTTGCTCAGCTCCTATATCAATGTCCTTGGTTTCTCTACCCTGGTGGTGTGCTTATGGTGGGGAGGGATCATTTTGTTTTGTTTTGTTTTGTTTTGTTTTGCTTTTGCTTGGTTGAGTTTCTCAATTCCTTTTCAGGGCACCCTTGCTTGAAAAACAGATTATCTTTTTTTGTTTGTTTTTTTGTTTTGTTTTTTTGAGACAGGGCTTCTCTGTGTAACAGCCCTAGCTGCGCTGGAACTTGCTCTGCCGATCAGGCTGGCCTCAAACTCATAGAGATCCACTTACCTCTGCCTCCCAAGATTAAGCTAGGTGGCGGTAGCGCACTCAGGAGACAGAGGTAGGTAGGTCTCTGAGTTCGAGGCCAGCCTGGTTTACAAAGTGAGTTCCAGGACAGCAACTACTAAACAGAGAAATCCTGTCTTGAAAAACAAACAAACAAACAAAATGATTATCTAAATTAACAGATTAGGACTCATTCAGTAATGAGTTGAGATCCATGGCCTTTGGCTGCTGGTGTATTATTCTCCCACTAAGCGCTTACAGATGGGCAGGTTTGGGCTTGTTTTACATCTTAATAGGTTGCTCTTTGGGTTTGGTAATGTTGTATCTGTGAACATATTGGAGTTCGCTCCCCCCCACCACCACCCATCTGAGTTTGCAGTCTCATTAAGAACTGAGACTCTGGTGTTTGGGACTTCATTGCCTTTCGTTTATCACCTCAGATGGACTCTAAGGAAATGTGATAAAGAGACCCAAGACCAAACTAACTTATGGATGTATGTTGCTTTATTGTAATTTACTTCTTTGAAAACTCAACCGATCTGCTAAATGAATGTTTTTTTCTTATCATAATGCTAATAGTAGTTCCCTCTTTAGCTCTTTAGCTCTTCAATCTTTATGGCTCAGATATCAAATAACTTCACTAAATTCCTGCTTCCGAATATATGACTAACTTGGATAACTGTGTTCCTGAACTACTGTGGGGAATGCCTTCTCTTGTTCATGCCTTTCAGAATACCCTATCCGATTCAAAGAGTGGTTTTATGCAATGGCATTGCTTTGGGAAGTGATAAGGAGTGGGACTTTCTGTTAAGTTTCTACATCAATACAACTGAGGAAGAGGAAGGGACCCATCTACTTCAGGCATTGAGCTGCAGTAAAGAACCGTGGATTCTCAACAGGTGAGGCGATCAACTTACCTTACACGTGCTTGCTGGAGAAACACGATCCACATCCCAAAACAGAGGAAAAGAGAAACAAACATATTTGTGCATTACTAACTTAGAACCATGAGCTTGTTGAAAAAAACACACACATAAAAATGAACTTTTTATTGGGGTTTAAAGCTTGTTTATATTTTACAACTGGACTCTTGTAGATTTATGGAGTATGCCATCACCGTGTCTCCGTCCCCTTTTAATGACACAAATATAATAGAAGTTGTGGCGGCATCTGAAGTTGGCCGGTACGTGGCAAAGGACTTTCTAATCAACAATTGGCTGGCTGTGAGTCAGAGGTAAGAAGGAACCCAAGGCCTCAATTTCATTTACGTCATTAATTGTTAATTTTTCCTATTTGGATCAGAGAATATAGTTTGGATAATTTATTTATTTATTTATTTTTTGTTGCTTGATAATTTCAAACGTGTGTAAAGATGTGTTTTGATCAAATCTATTCCCTATCCCCTTGCCTTTGAGTCTTCCTCTACCCACCCGCATTACACCCCCCACCCCCGCTTCACATGCTCTTTTTTAATCCACTTAGTGCTGCCAGTGCGTACACGGATGTAGGCCTTTCTATAACGGGGAAACAATGCTCCTTCTAGACACCACAGGCTAGCAAATAAAAGGCCCGGGGCCAGGTATGGGTCTTCTCTTTTAAAGTGTTGGTCAGTGGGGTCCCATGAACACCCCAAACATTACCGGCTATTCCCCTTGCTCATGGTACCCTCAGTCACTGACTATGGAGATGTTCACCTTCAGTCTGGCTGTGTCAGTGAGGTTCTTTCACTCACTAAAAAAGTGATGGTTTTTCCTGTGTCTTGTCTCACCACAAACTAGAAAACATAAAGGATCACTTATCCTTAATTTTGGCTTTCTGTATGAAAATGGATTTACATATGTTATTATCTATCTCAATTTCCCCATTATACCCATCAAAGTTTCTCTTAAGAAACACTAATTTGAGTAATTCATATTTTTGGTATGATCATACTCCATTAATTCATGTATTTCATGAAGACTATCACACAGCTTTAAGAAACAGTATTACATTAACCTGAATGCTGTGGTTAGATTTTCCTTATCTGGATTCTGTATTATTAAGTTTTTACATTTTTTTACCCTTTAGGATTAGATCTGCTTGCTTCCTCAGTCTTCGTCTGTTCAGTAAGATATATATTAGCATGTAATAATCAGAAAACATGTCCTTGATGGCTGCTTCTTCTAGAACATTATATGCCATATATTTTTAGAAGATAAAAATTAATAATCCCTGCATGTGCTTAGACACTATAGATTTAGCAAATAAAACATGGATAAGGTCCAAGACCCTGAAAAGTTAGAAGACAGCTTTTGCAAAAAGTTTATTCTTTCAGAATAAATACATATTCAGGTTATAAATTTTTTGTTTGTTTTTGAAACAGGGTCTTATGTAAGCCCAGGCCCTTGAATTCACTATGTAGCTGAAAACTTTCAAGTCTTCACCCTCGCATGTAACTTCCAAAATACTAGAATTACAGCTATTTAACCATGTGCTAACCATGCCCAGGTGGCTAGAATATAAATACCGAAGGCCATAGATGTGTGACTACTTCATAGAACAAAGTAATGAATGTGTTGTAAATACTTATTGAGCACCTTTAGAACATGAAAAGGGATGAGGTTTTCTGCATTAGAAAATTTAAAGCTATTAGATGAAAACTCATTTATACTTCACTATTTCCCTAGCTCATCATAGAAACATACATATTATATTTACATTATGAAAATATTTTTCCTGTCTTTTGTTTAAGGATATCTAACTCTTGCTTTATTCTGTGAGCAGACCTCATGAATTTTCTACTTATGTTTTCTGAGATTCCTCAGATTGGGGAATGAGTTATATTTTCTATTTTTAATCATTAAAGATAATCCCCTTCTTCCTTAGCAACCTACTGGGAATGTAGAAGTTGAATTTTAAGTTGGGATTTATACACACATCTCCTTTTTGTATATTGTTTCAGAGATCAAGCCTCATGAGCCTGTTATTCCTTGGTCTCTGTCCCTAGAGTTTGTAAGAAGAGCTCGCTGTCCTCAGCCTCCCCCCACCCCCAGGTCTCACCAATCTGACTTTGCCTTGTCTGTGAACCCATTGTCGGCCTTGCTCAGCTTGCTTAAGTCACTTAACGCAGCTCGTCCTTAGCTTTCCTTCCACAACTTCCTTCTAACTCCTCTAGTGGCCGTTAAAGATGACACCAGTAGACATGCCAGAGTGAACAAAGAAAAGCCCGAGAGGCCTCAACGCTACACAAAGATGGGCAACTGAGAAAAACTGGGAGCGGGAGAGGTGGTCCTCCCAGGAAAGAGCACACCAGTTGGTTGTCCAGTGCCAAACGGTCAGCCCTGAAAACATGCATACAAGTAACATTATCTGGACTGAACTGTTTTTATGTAGGAATGTATATATGTGAGACGAACCTTCATCTAGGGGCTGTGCCCATAGAATAATAAGCTTGACAGAGTCTATGTGATCTTGAACAAAGCATGCACTGGATTGTAGTGAGTTCTTATATTTTTGGTTGTGAGCCTAGCCTTTAACGGCTGAGCCATCTCTCCAGCCCTATAGTAAGTTCTTAAATGATTAATTTAACTGAGTTTATTCTAGTCTATTGCATAGAGTCCAATAAGGAAGATCAAAAGGAACAAACAACACAAGGAGTCCAGCTAGAGAAGTCAATATGCTGGTCAACTATGGTGACCAATTGCCTGTAAACTCTATTTCTGAGTCTGGGCCTGTTTGGTAGTGTCAGAGACCCCAAGTGTGCCCTCTCTTTCAAAAGTTTTCAAGGTGGAACTTATCCCATGTTTTTAGGGTTATAGTTATGGGGTTACAATGGCCACGTGCTTTGCATGTCTTATTGGCCTCTAGGCAATGGAGAGGTGAGGATCTCTCTCTTCTCCCCATCTCGGAGCCCATGTTTTACAACTCTAGTGATGAATATATACATGAATTCCTAATGAATTCCTAATAGGAACACACACACACACACACACACACACACACACACACGCACGCACGCACGCACGCATGCGCGCCTGAATTTAGCTCAGTGGTAGAACACTTGCCCAGCACACATGAGCCTCTGGGTTCAGTCACCACAATCACCCAAATCAATAAATAATTAAATAAACACGTACAAACAAAACCACCAAGGACAAGTCATGGTTTGCCTGAGGATGCATGTTGTCATCACCATATGCATCATGGTCTGCATTCCTTCTGATACACAGCTGTGTGCTGAGGAAGGCAGAGGGTCACAGATTCTTCCCAGCCTCAGTGTGAAACCATATCTGGTTCCTGTGCGCTTATACCACTTACAGATGTTGGGGACACAGATTCACTGTCACCGCTCATTGAGGTTGTACCTCTCACCCCTGGTATCATCCACATGGACAAATGAGCTTGGGGAAGTGACTCTTAACTTTAGCTGTGCTTCTGAGCCACACAGAGTGGCTAACACGCACGTGAGCTCCCAAACCCACCTGCCCCTTGAAAACTAGGAAAGGATAGAAAGACTCTACCTTCTACTGGTTTCCCAAATGACTCAAGCAAAGTTTAACATGGGCCCAGTCGATACTATCTCAAAAACTGTATAGAGCTGAACTGAGTGGGATTTCTCAGCACTTGGGAGGCTGAGGCAGGAGGATTGACTTCAGAGCAAAGCTGAGCTACCTAATGAATTCCAAGTCAGTCTAGGCTACAATGTAAGCCCCTAACAAACAAACAAGCAAACAACAAACCACATAAGGCTGCCTTGCTCAATCTCATAGCTACTAGCTAACATGTAGATATTTAAATTTACATTAATTAACATTTTTAAAAATTAAAGTTCAGTGTCAGTTCTATTATCCCTGTTTGAAGTGTCCAGTGTGACTAGAGGTGACTGTATTGGACAGCCCAGACAAAGAACATCTCCATCATGACAGAGAAGTCAGCGGGCAACACTGATGAGTCTAAACCAACCCCTTGACTAGTTTGTTTCACGAAAAGCTCAGGTGCAAATTAAAACTTCAAATGGCATTAAACGACTCACTAAGTCCAGACATAAATATATGGTGTCACCTGAGTCATGAGAGAGCTCTCGACCTGCTGTGATGTAGCCCTTACATTGGCGCTTCTTTATCCATCGAAGTCGCTAGACTGGAAAATAAACCAGGAGAGCTTGTTTCTAGCTGAACAGATTTCTCACTTCAAAATTAAAGGATGGTTGGCTCAGTCATTCTGACACACGTGTCACAGTAATGTTAAGTGTAGGAGAAACTGGGTGCCGGGTAAACGCATACAATGATATTTTTCTGATGTTGTGCAATTTATTTCTGCACTGAATCTGTGTCCTACCTCAAGGTCACAGATTAATAATGGGAAAGGCTGCTTTTAACTGACGTGGATTCACATGTAATTTTTATTCCTCACAAGAATTTCTCTTGCCTTTAGAGAGCAGGAAAATGTTGGCAATTTCCTACTAAGGCTTAAATTCTGCTCTCCAAAGAATTGATTATCTCACAATTGACTTAATTGACCTATATAAGCACATTAAATACAACCATATAAGGAATCCCTAAAAAAAAAAAAAAAAACTTCTAAATGGGTCTTATTATCTTCATAAAGTTTGTAAGATTATTAGTGCATGAACTTTTAATTGTGGCTTCATTACTTTTATATTTTATTCCAGAGAACACCAGATTCATAGAAGATGCTAAATTTATGGAAATGAAATTTAGTTCACTTTTTTTACACATTCTACTACAGAGAGAATTTTATATATTCAATTAAATTTGCTTTACATATTGGATACACTTATTTTTATGGTTTAATTTATATTAGAAGGCTTGTTCAATTTTGCTAATAGTTTTGTCTGAATAAATAGTAACATTTGTGAGTTGTTGAATGCAGAAGTTCAAATTAAAAAACATATATATTTAAATGACATAGGAATGTTTATTTAGCTCTTTATATATCAGAGTATCTATGGCTTGCTGAAGTTATAGTATGCACAGAGAATGAATATATCACCAATCTTCATGACAAAGCAGATTCAAAAGGCACAGCTTTGAAAATTTTTTACAATCCATTACCTTATTTTTTATAAACTTATCATCAATTTTAGCATCATAAAGTTTCCAAGAAAGAAACCCAGGGTTTTCTACCATTTCAGCTACCTAATATCTTGAGACACAGCCCTTCTGAGCCTCGTCATAAATATACCAATGCCAGTAAAGTATAAATTCACTAGTAGAGCAGTTGTCCCAGGGGAAAGAGAGCTATGAGAGACAATGGTTTCCAGCTCTGTCATCTCAAACTGCGAATGGAACATCACAGGTCTATTATCTGTCTACTAATTGACATTTAGGGCTTGGCTTTGTCCTCTCTGAAATGGCAGCTCTTGTGTCTTATAAAGCCTAAGGTTTCCCTACTAATCTAAAAGTGCAGTTGGTTTGAATGTGTTAAGGACAGACTCAGAGTTACCAATAACACATCAGTGTTGTGTTCAGGAAAGAAATCAAAGCTCTTCCTCTTGGTGTGGTTTCACCAAGAGTGAGCCTGCATTAGATCCCTCTACTTCCCTGTTTGTATCCTTTATCCTCTTAATCTGTGCCTGCCTGAATGCTGTCTTGTGAATCTGTCCATGTGTCTGTCTGTCTGAGTGTGACTGTGTCTATCCCTAACAAAGGGCTTTTATCTACATTTATTAAGCAGTACAGGAGGCATCACATGGAGGAAAGGAATGAGAGATACTTTACAGAAATCTTCAACAGTTTTACAAGGGGTTAAGTCACTGGCTCCAACAGACTCAGATAACAAACAGTAGTACAAACATCATCGTTTATCAAATAATAGCTATATGTTGCTTTCAACATTTATGGTGAATATTCATTTTATAATACCACCTTCAGGCTACATTTTCTGTTTTTAGCAAATGACTATCAAAACATATACAAACATGCATACATTACTCTTGAGTTAGGGCATGGAAGGGTCCGGGATATGTTCCTTCATTGTCTCAAGCACTCATGAACACATGTTAACCCGGTGTTCCTAATTCTTTTTTTTTTTTTTTTTTTTTTTTTTTAAGGATAACTAGTTGGGCATGGTAGCGCACACCTTTTAATTCCAGCACTTGGGAGGCAGAGGCAGGCGTATATCTGTGCATTTGAAGCCAGTTTGATCTACACAGCGATTTCTAGCACAGTCAGGGCTACATAGTGAGACCCTGTCTCAAAAAGAGTAAATAAGTAAAGAAGATTGACATGCATTGACTTTTGTCTTCACAACAATTAGAATATGTTGGAAACTGGTAAGGACAGACCATTTATAGTGTATATGTTTTGATCAACAATATTGCAAGAGAATATTCTCTCAAGCATGAACAATAAACCTTGTGTTTTTCAAAAAGAGTTTCTGAAGTTGGGCACTAAGGAGTGAGATGAGCTAGGTACTCCAGCGCCTGCTCCCAGGTATCTCCCCAAATCCTCGGTGATGCTCAGGTCATGTTTCCATGTTAGTTTCATTCTACAATTGACCAGTTGCTGAAGGTAAACTCTAAAACTCACTCCTGCCTCATGAGGTTGGCTTTCTCCTGTGTCTGCTAGCGAAGTCACATCTTTAGCTCAGGAGACAGACTTCCAGTTTGGAACTTGGTTTTTGTTGTTGTTTGTATGTTTTTGTTTTGTTTGGAATCTTGTTTCCCATGTTATCTCACAAGTTTTCCCTCTACTTGGCTAATTAAAACGGAGAGCCAAGAGCTGTTCTCCCTGCCCATGGTCCCAGCTTTGCTCACCTGAGCTGCACACAGGGTCCTGTTCACTCAGGTAGCTTCAGTTTTCCATTATATCTAGGACTTGAAGAGGTAAAGGCTAGTTTCTTCTCACTCAGATTTCTATAGATAACTAACTCTTACAATAACCCTTACCATTTGAAAAGTCACAATTACAGTTTTTGAAATAAATCAATTACGCATTTTAACTACCAAAGCAACTTGACCATTTCTTGTTCAGTCAACTATAATAATCCTATTTCAATTTTATTTTCTTTTTTAATGAGTCCAAAATTCCTCTTTTTTTTTCATGCTACAGCAGTACTTTGCGGCGGTATGTATCTGTTCTTTCTTTACAACTTGACAATTTTTGTTTCCTAAATGGAGTTAGAGCAATTATGGTACTGGGACATCTTGAGACTCAGAAGACAGAAATGAACACTTAAAAAAAAATCCACAATATAACTTTAAATACACTGCAGGGCATTTTAGTTCATGGTTTTGAAATTTATTGCATATTACCTATCATTTCTGAAGGGACATCATTTACTTATTTATTTACACCCTTATAAAGTTTCTTGCTTTGGGACACGGAATATGAATTCTAACTGTCTGTAGAATAGATGTATATAATTGTTGCTTTAAATAAATGTAATAATATTTAAATAAAACTGAAAACTTTGTTACACAAATAGTATTACTAGTTCTTTAGTATTACTAGTTCTTTAGTATTACTAGTTCTCTGCACAACAGATTTCCTACTTAAGGCTGAACAAGTTCATGCATGGTTTCCCTTGGATTTGTGAGGGTGATCTCAATGGGGCTGCCTACGTCCTATTGATCTGCTGCTGAAGCAGGCATCGTTATTGCCAGGTACTGCTGTCCTCTGACCAGCACCTTGTTGCTTTGCAGGTATGGACCACAGTCACTAGATGGTTTAGTGTGGGTCCTAGGGAGGACTGTAAGCACAGATCTCCAGGTTATGGAGGTAAGTCCTGAAAGTATTGTGAAGTACAATGATATTTGGGAAGTGCTTTGGATGTAATTTGACTCGCTGAAATGAAAAATCATACACTTACTTGAATCATCTCACTCTATGCTTTGTTAGTGTGATTGGTATTGTATTAGCCTGGTTTCTCTAAAGGAAGAGAACTGATAGAATTTTACATTCTCTCTCTCTCTCTCTCTCTCTCTCTCTCTTTCTCTCTCTCTCTGTCTCTCTGTCTCTCTCTCATACACACACACACACACACACACACACACACACACACACACACACACACACATACACAAAGGGAATTTATCAGAGTCACTTACAAGCTATAGTCCAAGTAGTCCATCTATGGCTGCGTGGCTGTCTCCCAATGGAACGGCTAAGGATCCCATAGTTGTTCGGTCCACAAGACTGGATGTCTCAGCAGTCCCAATCCAGTGCTGGAGTCCCAAGAAAGCCCTAGACAGCTGCCAGTTTCAGTCGGTGTTGGAATCCTGAAGAAGCAGGTTCTAGCACCAGGGAAGGAGTGCCTCAGGAACAGGATGATGGACTTGCCGATGAGAGTGAGGGCAAGTAAGCAAAAAGCAAAGTCTCCCTTCTTCTTCTGCGTCCTTTTATGTGGCTGGCCACCAGAAGGTGTGGCCCACGTTTAGGGTGGATCTTTCCACCTCAGATAATTCAGCCATGAAAAGTCCTTCATGAGGAGTGCCCAGCTGCTTGGGTTTTAGTTAATTCCTGACGTAGTTGGCTTGACAACCACGATTAGTGATTACAAGTCCAAGTTTTGTCAACTGGACACACAATATCTCCTTTGTCATGCTTTCTATCTTTCTTTCTTTTTTAATGTTTTAGTTTTTTTGAGACAGGGTTTCTCCATGTAGTTTTGGTTCCTGTCCTGGATCTCGTTCTGTAGACGAGGCTGGCCTCGAACTTACAGAGATCCGCCTGCCTCTGCCTCCTGAGTGCTGGCATTAAAGGTGTGCGCCACCACCGCCTGGCTTGTCATGCTTAATTTCTAAGTAAAAGCAATAGCCAAGTCATAATTGTGCCTAATATGATATAACTATCTCATGTACAGCCACATGTATTATATATTTGAGTCTAGGTGGCAATGTCACTTGAGGAACAATCTTTTAATGTCTTATAACTTAAATATGATAACCACTGATATTACCCCAATTGATATTACATTACATGATAAAAATATAGAGGAAAGAAAAACATTATATATATGTATATGTATATACACACACAAAACACATTCTTGCCAAAATAGGACAGAAACACTCAAGTCAATTATAATTGTTGTTTCTGCAACTGGTCACATGGTCTTAGCTGGTATTTATAACTACCTCCCTCTACCACCCATTCTGTATTTCCTCCACCCTCCTCAGGTCTTGGCTCTCTTCCTGGAGGATTGACCCATACCTTCATTCCTGAAGGGTCTGGGCCCTTTGTCATCCTGCTTGGATTGCTTTACTATTGCTTTCTTTTGACTTTAGTCATAAGATGATAACATCAAGAGATGCCCTAAAGAAGCAGTTCTCAACCTGTGGGTTGAGACGTTTTGGGGGCCACATGTCAGATAGCCTTCATCTCAGGTATTTGAATTACAATTCATAACAGTAACAAAAGACAGTTATAAAGTAGCAATGAAATAATTTTATTGTTGGGGATCCCCACATGTCATAGGGTTTCTATTGCTGGCATGAAAACACCATGGCCAAAAGGCAAGTTGGGGAGGAGAGGGTGTATTGGGCTTACCCTTTCAGCATTGCTGTTCATCACTGAAGGAAGTCAGGACAGGAACTCAAACAGGGCAGGATCCCGGAGGCAGGAGCTGATGCAGAGGCCATGGAGGGGACTTGCTTACTGGCTTGCTCCTCATGGTTTGCTCAGTCCACCTTCTTATAGAACCCAGGACCAGGGGTGGCACCATGTACCATGGGCTGGGCCCTCTCCCATTGACCACTAAATAAGAAAATGCCTTACAGCTGGATCTCAAGGAGGCATTTCCTCAGCTGAGACTCTTTCCTCTGATGATTTCCTCTGATGACCGTAGCTTGTGTCAAGTTGACACACAAAACCACCCAGGACACCACAACATAGGTGTATTAAAGGGTTACGGCATTAGGAAGGTTGAGAACCACTGCCCTAAAAGGATCTCTCACACTCCAGACATAATCTTCCTCGCCTCCACTGTGCAGAATCCAATTTCCATTTAGTAGTCTGAGTCAATTACTCCTAACACTGACATTTCTTTCTTAGCCTGATGGCTTTAGGGCACCAGAAGCCCAAAGTGGTGAAGTCTAAGCTTCCAGTTCAGTGGAATGTTTATTGTATCTCCAGGCAGAAGTGAGGGCTCCTCCATCTGGAACCAAAACTTCTAGGCCAGCAGAATGTAAGGAAAAATTTCCCTAGTGGGCCAGGAGGGTGATAGTGAACAAAACTAGTCCCTTTACTACTCCTTGGTTTCTGGACCCATGGATATTGGCGATGGGAGAAATCAGACCATATACTGGATGTGGATTCAAAGCATATACGCCTTCTGCAGAATCTTACCCCAGCCCTCCCAGATACTGCCACCTAATTTGTGCTGGAACTGTGTTTTCAAAAGGCCATTCCATCGTTCTATTAGACCAGCTCCTTCAGGATGATGGGGAACGTGGGAAGACGGGTGAATTCTGTGAATGTAGACCCACTGCCACCCTCCTCTGACTGTGAAATGAGTTCCTTGGTCAAAAATCATGTTATGTGGAAATACCATGATGGTGGATAAGGCATTCTGTAAAGTCCATGGATAATCATGGTTTTGGCAGAAGCTGTATGTGCAGTAAAGGCAAATCCATAACCAGAATAGGTATCTATTTCCAGAATGCCAAAGCTCTTTAGTTGTGTAGTGTACCTTCTCATGGACTGCACTTTCTATCTTCCCCTCTAGGAGCTGGCTCAGCCTGAAGTCTGGTTATAGGTATAGAGGCAACTATTGGAGGGCCCCGAGAGACGTCAGAATTATCTTGTCTGGCATCTCCTTCAGGGAAGATTACTCCTGGTTGGGCATACCATAAGGATTATTTTCCTCAGGCAAAGGCAGAGAGGTCACTATTACAAGACAAGGGAGTGGAGATGCGTCCTCTGCTAAGGGTGGCGAGATTAATTCCTTGGGTGAGACAAACCCTTCAGAATCTGAAGTTCAAAGTCCTCACCTCAGCAGATTCTTCTCCCATGTCTCCAACCCACACTACAGGATCCTATCCCTTACCAACCAATGCCCCGACTTTAACTGCTGATACCTTCCAAGGTTAAGACTTGAATTTTAGTTGTGATTCAGCCAATCTTAGAAGAAGGGTTTTTTTGGTTTGATTTTCTGCAGCTTGAGTTCTGTGGCTGCTGGAGAGAAAGTTCTCTTCCAGGGCACACTTAGAAACTTTTAGACTGGTTCTGTGCATCTGGAGTGTGCATCGACTGTATCACTCAGTTCATCCTTTTCTTGCCACTGTATCCAGAGATGCTATAAGTTGGTTAATTTGACCACAGAGTTCATTCTTTTCCTTTATCATGGTATCCTGAGACACAAGAAGTTGGTTAATTTTTTATCATAAAACTCATTCTTTCCTCTGTCAATTTATCCAGAGATGCTAGGAGCAACAAGCCAGTATTATTATTTTCTTTATTTTTCCACAAACTGTCAAAAGCTATATGTACAATCACTAAATTTTCTTTTCCCTAACAATGGGCCTTCAGTGTTCTCCATATTACTAAGGGAGTCTGTAGTTGGAAGATTTCCTGTGTCCCGGCTGACTGGCAGTCAGGACAAATCTCTCCCACTCTCCCCAAGTTAACACACAGAGGCTTATTTTAATTATAACTGCTTGGCCATAGCTCAGGCTAACTACTGACCAGCTCTTATACTTAAACTAACCCATAATTCTTATCTATGTTTAGCCAAATGGCTCAGTACCTTTTCTCAGTTCGATCTTGTCATCTTGCCTCCTCTGTGTCTGGCTGGCGACTCCTGACTCAGCCTTCCTCTTCCCAGAATTCTCCTCTTTGCTTGCCCCTGCCTATACTTCCTGCCTGGCTACTGTCTAATCAGCATTTTATTTATCAACCAATCAGAGCAACACATATTCACAGCATACAGAACGACATCCCACAGCAGGAGTCTTCAATAACTATAGATGTTGGTGAATTCTGAAGTCTGTTCCAGAAACTTAACAAATCCACCCTTACAATTCTCTCTCCCTAGAGTCACTTCCTTTGTTAATTCTATCTTAGTTACTTTTCTGTTGCCGTGATAAGACATCATGACCAAGGCGACCTATAGAAGACTCTATTGGGAGCTTGCTTACAGAGAGTTAGAGTCCATGACCATCATGGCAGGGTGTATGACAGCAGGTAGGCAGGCATGGCAGTGGAGCAGTAGCTGAGAGTTTACATCTTGATACACCAGCACAAGGCAGAGAGAGAGCCAACAGGAAATGGCATGAGCTTTTGAAATCTCAGATCCCACCCCCAGTGACACACCTTCTCCAACAAGGCCACACTGCCTAATCCTTTCCAAACAGTTCCATCAACTGGGGGCTAAGCTTTCAAACTTAGGAGCCTATGAGGGCCATTCTCATTTGAACCACCACATTCCACTTCCTGGTTCCTATAGGCTTGTGGTCATATCACAATATAACATACATTTAGTTCAACATCAGAAGTCCCCATTGATATTCAGTCTCAACACTGTTTAAAAGTCCAAAGTTTAAAGGCTCTTCGGAGACTCAAGGCACTCTCTTAATTGTAATGTCCTGTAAAATCAAGAAGCAAACTATATGATTATGACATGCAATTTGGCACAGAATATACAGTACCGTTACAGAAGGGAGGAGTTAGGGCATTGTGAAGAGATAGTGGACCAAAGGAAGACAGTAACCTAGCAGGGCAGACTCCAAGTCCTGTTGCTCTGTAGTGTCCAGTGTCAAATAGGTTAGATGGCTTTGCCTTTCCAGCTTTGCTGCCCACAACATCCTTCTTTCTTGGGCTAGTTCCACTCCATGTCTGAAGGTCTCTTTGGCTCTGGCACCTCAGGGGTCTCCAAAGCAATCTAGGCTTTACCTCCACCGCTTCACACAATGGCTTCTCGGTGTCTCTTGCCTTCTCAGAGCCTTCATGTGGGGACTGCCCAGCCACACATTGCTTGACCTCAGTGGCATTCCTTAACCATGTAGGAAGATTCCATAACCCCATGCACGTGTATCCTTCATGACTCTAAACCCAGATCCACGTGTTTAACATTGCCAAGTTCAGCAGCTGGCTTGGGACAGAGCCTGGCCCCTTGAATCACATCTACAAGCATGCTACCATGCTCCAATTAAACTCAGATTCTTGTGCTTACATGGCAAGCATTTTGCCAATTGAGCTATTTTTCTAGCCCATCAGTACCGGTGTTTGCATATTAATTTTCTGAAACTTTACTGAATTGTTTATTCATTCAGATAAATAAAAGATGTTGCTATCTATGAACAGTGCCAATTTGACTAAAACATGCAGAAATGAAGGGCAACATCTGTAAAGACAGATGTAAGATGCATCGAGATTGACCTCTGGAAGCTGCCAAGTTCCTTTGAAATACAAAAGGGTCTCTCTGTCTCTGGTCACAAATCTTGTGCAATATCCAATATGTATTCCGTAACTATTTGTTGAGAGCTATGATGTACTTTGGAAATAAAGAAATTAATAAGATCAAGTTCTTACTTCATGGACATTGCAGCTGACATTTCATCCTTCTGGGTCAGTTTGGTGTTAATCACACTGTCTCAGTCACAGCCTCATCAGGGACACATAATGGAGGTCTGCATATCACTACTCCTTCCAAGCATCATTGCCTCTCTGCAAAGGCGTTTTGCTTTTTTCCGTGAACTGGTTTCTTTTGTGTCAGTGAAAGTTTGGTGTTGCTGATCAGTTATCTCCATCCGTGTAGTTGCAGTGGTTCCTGGGAAATGTGTTGGATGAACACCAGAGGATTGCGGCTCATGCCAAATTACAGGCAATGAAGACAGAGAATCTGAAAAACAAGAAGAGGATTGCCAGGATGGCTGAGTGGCTTTGGAAAAACATATAAGTTGTGGCCACTTGTGGCATGCTTTCTGCGTTTTATAATCGTGTTTGCTCACAGTTTTGTCTTCCATATTTAGTGACTCTGGAAAGCTGCATGGCTTCTTTTATTTTGGTTATGTTTTTTTCTACTTAGTCATGGCCTTCCTGTTTTCACACCTTTCCCCATGGATCAGTGATTGCTGAGGATTTTGTCAACACTGCCATGTATCTGGGCAAACCTTCACTTCCCATTGAACAATAAAGTCACCAAATTTAAGTGCCTTGCAAAAACAAAAAACAAAACAAAACAAAACAAAAAAACCAAACCAAAACAAACAAAACAAAAACAAAAAACAAAAAAACAAAAACCAGATTGACCTTAAAATATCTCACTTATTTTGATGTGAAGGCTAGTGTAGCATTAAATCTGTGGCATTGACGTAGTGCAGATTCTATTCAGATGGAAATCCAGACTTGGAATAACTCTATGCTTTATTTAGTTTAAAAATGAAGGAATGATGGGAACACAACATTGCAGTGTAAAGAAAGAGAAGCCAGAAATAAATGAGATCACTAGGAGATAGCACAACCAAAGGAAGCAGTCTAGTCAAGACTGAAAAGGAGGCATGGACAATTTCAGAAGTCATATCAAATGCTTCAAAAGCAAAGAAAAAAAAAGAAAGAAAGAAAGAAAGAAAGAAAGAAAGAAAGAAAGAAAGAAAGAAAGAAAGAAAGAAAAGAAAAAAGAAAAGTCTTCTCCCCAAAGTCAAGCCAGAGCACAGTGATCGCCATTTCGTACTCCGGAGAACAAATTCAGTTGGCCAAGTTGAACCTACTTGGAATGTGGAGCAATAGACTTTCAAGAGTTGCTGACTAATACATGGAAAGAGCTTAGTTTTGATATACACAGGATAAAAACAGGACAGTGAAGCACACCGCTCCTGCTTCAGATGCTGGGTATCTCATTCAGTCCTTTTTCCTTTACACTTTGTTGTTTTTTAGAATGAGAGTCAAAATCGCTTATCTCCTATCTACCTCACAGTAGTATTATAAAGATTAATGAATATGCTATCAATGAAAAGATTTAGAACTTCCAGACAAGACTAGAAGCTTAGAAGATTGTTTCATGTGACTTTATTAATGAGGAGTCACGGGAAAGACTATATATTCTAGGGACAGAAAGAAAGGAGAGCATCAAGAATCATGAAGACAGAAGGACTGGAAACCAGCACAGAAACAGACCAAGAAGGGAAAGAAGAACTAGGCGATGGTGTTCCACTCCATCCATGGTCTGTCACCGAGCACACACATATTCAAAATTAACACTATGTAAATAGAAACGTAAGTCATTATACATTCAAATGTTTATTTGAAATTTGTAGCATCTCACATTACTAAAATTTAAAATATCTCTACGTTTTCTAGAGAAGGCTTTGCATCTATATACATGGTGAATGGAACATAAAGTCACCATGCTCATGTCCCAACTTCCTCTACTCCATAGTAATGCTCAAGTAGCATGCTGCTAATTCATACAACCAATGAGGAACAGTCATAAACTCAGAATATTAAATTATACCGCACCTTGCATATGGCTGTGCGTTTGTGTGACTAATGAGACTTAATGGATGCAAATAAAAACTTCTGTGTTGGATATCCATCTCCAGTTTCCAGTTTGTTTTAAATTTTTAATGTGTGTGTGTCTGTGTGTCTGTGTGTCTGTGTGTGCCATGAGTGCAGTGCCCACGTAGACCAGGAGAGGCGTCAGGTCTCCTGGATGTGGAGTTGCAGGGGTTTGTGAACTGCCCGATGTGTGTGCTGAGAACTGAATTGAATCCTTTACTCTCTTAACCACTGAGCCATCTCTCCAGCCCCATAACCTGATTTCTGTGATTTTGAAATTCTAAATGAAGTCTAAAGACACAGATTGAAAAATACAGAGAGATATTTGCGTTGTGTTATAAGTGGATACCCTGGGATCTGGATTTTCAAAATAACTAATTGTAAGTTTTTTAATTAGATTTTCCTACACAAGCTTATTTTAAAAAATGTTTTCTTTTGTCAAAAAGCATACTTTGTGGGAAAGGTTATTTCTGTAGGTGTATTCGTGTAATACACACAACACAGTTCTCTCTCTCTCTCTCTCTCTCTCTCTCTCTCTCTCTCTCTCTCTCTCATGAGTGTGTGTGTGTGTGTGTGTGTGTACCCTTCCTGGCTGTACCCTTCCTGAACTACACTCTAATTCATTTGATGTCTATGGAAAAGCACCAGCAGAGATGAAGGTCTCCTCTCATCCTTTCCTTGCACTCTCACATAAACGAGCGGATGAGATACAGCAATCAGGTCTACTGCTGGCCTGAAGAAAGTGGCCATTCTGATGAGATGATGGCTCCTGGACCTGAAAGGCCACAAGTGCATGCCAGAGGAGTGGAGCGGAGCCTCTAACTATGGGGTGTGTAGGACATCTGGGGTGTCTACCCTGTGCAGTGATCACACTATCATTCGGAAATGGTTCCTTGATTTTAGCATATCTCACTTGAGATAAACACAGCTGTTGACGCCACTGCTCCTCAGGAGCAGGAATAATCCTCTTGATACATCTCCAGTTTCATTCAGAAGATCATCGGAGGAATGCTCTATAATAGAGAACAGACAGCTCTGCTCTCTTCAAAAGGTGATATTCTCCTTCATCCCCACCAGCCAAACCCTAGACTTTAGAGAAAATATGTTCATTTGAGAAAGTAACTGATGGAGAAGTCATGACCTACCTAATTACAAGTGGCATAATGCAGCTGGCAAGTGATGTAATAGGCAGGAAAGACTACACGTTCTGTTTCCTGTAGGATACACTGAGCATGCGCTGTACAGGATTACTGCTTCAGCACATCCCTGCTAGCCAGTATCCATCCCTGTCGATCAGAAAAACAAATTGGACTAATAGTCTCTTCATTTGCTTTAACAAAGAGATTTAAAATTCTAGAGCTTTTTAGACAAATGCTGAGGACATGAAAAGAAAAAGAAAGAAAGAAAAAAAACCTGGACACAGCTCAAGGGTGGATTCTTATTCCAAGTCTCAGAATCTCTCCAACTCTCAACCGATGCCTTAATTCTCATACTGGGGTCTTGACAGAGCCGTGAATTTAACTTGCATTGTAACGCTACATCCTACAGAATCCCATACAGCAGCTACAAAAATGCAGGACTTATTTTGTGGGGCTCATGGGGAGCAGAGGCAGTTGCCTTTCTTGGGGGCTGTGGGCTAGCTGGCTGACTTCACTCATAGGCAACACACTCCATCCTCAAGTGGCTGTCTGCTTCCATGTGGTTGATGGCCTCCATGTTGAGGTAGTTGGGGAACTTGAGGTCCATCTGGCAGCTTGATGGTCAGGTCATAATGGTTGAAAGTGATGCATCCATTCATGACACTCCCCGGCCGGAAGGAAAAGCCAGATTCCTCAGTCCTCCGGGCTCTGCTACGCTTGCTGTTGCCCACAATGGCACTGGTGACCCCCCAGGGCATTGAAAAGGGTTGATGTGTAAGCTCATCAACACTTGTGTAAGCAAGGGTTGTTGCTGTCTTTACCAAGGCTCAGCACAAAGCTTTTGGCTTTGGAGGTCACCTGGCCCCAAACTCTGAGGCATTCCCTAGGTTTGGGATTCAGGTTGCTGGTGACTAGACTTACAAGTCATGACTAACAAAAGCTTCTGGATCCACTGTACTGGCAGTCTGAATACTTTGCCTGATAACTCAGGAATTCTTTATGACTAAACACCTTAGAAGTCATCTGGTTCTCTGATCATGTCCTAAGTCTATTTCATGTCGCTACAACATGTCCAAAACTTGGTATTTTTATAAAGAAGTGAAGTTTATTTAGTTCACATTTTTGAAGACACAAAATTCATCATTGGGAGAGTTGAGGTCAGGGTGTGCCTGGCCCTAAATTTCTCTATATTATATAAAACTTTGATTTCCCCCAAACACAACACTGTGTCTTACTCTGAGAGATTCCATTTTATAAGCAACACCTACAGATAATTTAAATAATGAAGAAATAGGTTTCATGAGAATACTATGCCATTTTACACAATGGACTTAAGCATGTGAAGCATTTGGTGTTTGTGGGGTCCTGGAACCAACTCCCCACAAATACTACAGAGGGTTGTAGATCACTGTCACCCACTCCATCAGGAAACATCATGTTGAATAGTTGAAGATAACAATGTTAACTGAAGAATCTGGGGTCCCTTCGTGTGTTTTCAGTTTCATTGAAAAAGACTCAGAAGGAATCTTGAATATCATTTTTATTAGATTTTGAGAGAAAAATATCAGGGTAAGCAAGCTGTAAATCTCAGCAGCGTATGAGAGAGATAGAGAGAGAGATAGAGATAGAGATAGAGATAGAGATAGAGAGAGAGAGAGAGAGAAGAGAAGAGAAGAGAAGAGAAGAGAAGAGAAGAGAAGAGAAGAGAAGAGAAGAGAAGAGGCATGCTTCTTGAGGTAGGGTCCATGAAGGCAGGCAGGTTCAGTGATGGAGGGAGAAAGGGATGGCGCTGTCTTTAGAGAAAGAGCGAGGACATCCAGACGTCAGGGCAAGCATACTTAGGATTTGGGCAGGTATTGAAGAAAGAGGTAGAGGGGTGGGGATGGAAAGTTGTGCTTTTTCAGTTAGAACTCAGAAAAGTTGGGCAGGCTTAGCAGTAAAGATCTGCAAGCAACTAAATGAGGGAGGGGCTTCTGGGCTGGAGAAGTATATCATCTCACTTAAGAATAAGGGATAATTATTCTTCCCATCTCCTTAGCTTGTCTTCAGGCAAATCCATTTTCCCGAGGACGGGTCTCCTGTCCAGGTGACTGACAGGCAAGTTGGACGAATTCTTAAGAGAAAGCGGAAGTGTATGTGCTGTTTCAGGGAGTTCATCTCCAGGGTCATCTCGGGTCAGAGGAAGAACTCAGATTCCATTCTGTTGACCAGGAGGATGGAGCTTTCCCTTAATGGACTCAAGAAAGCCCTGACACTTTACACTTTCCTATGGTATTGTAAATCTGAAGAAAGGGCAATTAGGATGCTGCTCTTAAAAGTAGCGTGCTACCAGGTTAGTGGTGGTGGAATTCAAAGCTGATTGTCAAGGTCCATCCTCACGGCCTAAAGTCTTTTGTTCTTATCTAAACACCTAATAGTGACACTAGGTGGCAGAGCTAAGTTCCACACGAAAGCCAGGGTCCAGCCTAGGTGCAAAGTCTTTTTCTTGAGACTCTTGTATTGAGAGCTATTGTATCAGCAAGGGTCCAGTTAGGAACCAGAAGCCTGCTGCTCTTGACTGAGAGAGCTCAGTGTAAGGGATTAGTAATGGAGAGCTGAAATGCAAAGACCAACATTGAGATGACACCAAACTAGGATCCACAAGCAGCAGCTTGCTGTCCCTGTGAAGGTGTCCCAGGAGGAGAGCTGGGCTACCTCAGCTACCCAAGGTTCAGAGGGGCTGTGGTCCAAACCTGGAGGAGTGGGTGGACTCCACTGCCCCGGTGAGTTAGAAAATCAAAGACAAAAAGGGGGCCCTGGAGCTGCATTCAGACCTCTGAGAAGGGACTGGTCAGCAGGCGCTGGTGTCCCTGCTGTGGATACACGTCGTCTGAAATTCTGAGGGGAAATCCAGTGAGATGAAATCTAACAGGCAAAGCAAGGGGGGAAAAATCACCGCAGGGCTAAGCTGAAAGATGCTAGAAACAAACAGGAGAGAGCCAGCAAGCATTCGCTCTCCTCCAGCCTTTCTATGTCCCTTGGTGCCCCCTGCTGGTAGAGTTGGAAACGCCACCCTCTATGATCTGTGAATCAGTCTTTGACTAAGGAGAAAAGATCCCCAGAGCCCACTGACTCAAGACAAGTCCTGTGTTAAAGCCTGTCTGAAGCAAGAGAGAAGGCCTTCGCCAAACTGACAGTCCACTTTTCTTGTATCAATTATTCCGTCCCCCTCCCCTTATGACCTTTCCCTCCCCTCTCATGATATCCTTTCCAGTTTCAACACACACACACACACACACACACACACACACACACACACACACACACACACTTTTAAATTCAGGCTCTCTGTATGAGAGAAATCCAGATTCTATATCTGATTTTGAGTCTGACTTACTTCACCTAACATAATGATTTTCATTTCTGTATATTTCCTAGAAAATATGATTGCATCTGTCCTTATGGCTGAGAAAGATTCCATCACGTATCTGTACCAGCTTTTCTTTATCCATTCAGCTGCTGATGGGCATCTCAGCTGGTTCTGTTTCCTGGGTGTTGTGGACAGTGTGGTATAAACATGGATGTGTAAGAATTTCTGCAGTATGTTGACTTCATCTTTTGGGGATCTCTCAAACTGTGGTGTAACTGAGACATATGGTCGTTCCATATTGACTTCGAGTGTGGCTGCATCCGTTCACATTCCCACTAGCAGTATAAATGTTCCTTTTTCCCCGAATCCTAGTCACCATTTGTCATTTAGTCTTATGATGTCAAGTCATCCTGACTGGGATGGGATCTCATCTTGAAATGTTTGATTTGCTTTTCCTATTTGCTCCTGCTACCCTGATATGCAGACAGCTTACTCTGAAGCCTCCTCTGGCCTTACCCCAGCTGCTCCATACTCACTTTGGACGGGCTCCTCTTTGGCTGTAGAACAATAGGGAAATACATCTTACCTGTCAGAGATGGTAAGTTCATAACTGTGGACACTTTGATTGAGGCCTGGTCACACAGAAACATGCAGAATTCTTGAAATAGTGAGGGTTCTGTTTTACTTTGCAGATATTTTAGTTTCAGTGCACAAAGGTCTCAATTCTACCTCTACCACTGAAAAAAAACCTCTTTTCTGGATTACGGTTTTTGCACCATCTGTTGGACATATTTATTTATTCTGTGCATACAAGGGAGATATGGGGAAAAAGAAGAGTGGGGCTGGCAGAGGCAAGGCCTGGCAATGACTATTTTTGTAATTTCTTACTAGGGAGAAGAGGACAAGAACCAAGGGACTAAGCATATATCTTAAGAGAGCAGAGCGTCAAAAATAGAGCAGAATATAAAAATGTTCTGGATGTTTATAGAAGACGTGGAACGTAGAAATATAAAAAAGGTGAAGGCCAGAAAGTTCTTTCTTTCTAGAATGGGAAATGTCTGAGAGAAGGTAAATGGTAGGATGGGTGGAAAAGAGCGAGACACTGAGGATGTAAATGATAGCACAATGATATTAGGGACAAATAAGTGACAATAAGTTAGAAAATTGGAAGGTGTGATTAAATTCCTAGAAAAAAAAAAGTTACCAAACTGGGACACAAAGAAAAGATTTACAGCCCTCTATATCCTTATATCTTCTTTCTTATCAACAAAGTGTAGCACTTTTACCTATAAGCATATAGGTATTAGTTATTGTCTTAGTTGAGTTCTGTTGCTGTGAAGAGACACACACCATCACCATGATGACTCTTATAAAAGAAAGCATTGAAATGGGGTGTGTTTAGAGTTTAGAGGTTTAGTCTATTGTCAACCTCATGGGGAGCATGTGGCATGCAGGCAGACAGGGTGCTGGGAAAGCAGTTGGGAGCTCTACATCTGGATGAGCAGGCAACAAGAAGAGAGAGTGACTCTGGGCCTTGCTTGGACATTAAAAAAAAAAAACCCCAAAGTCTGTTGCTGGAAGGCTTCTCTCCAGGTTCCACCAAGCCCCGCAGTCCCACAATCCACGTATAAAATAATTACTCAGACACTTATATTACTTATAAACTGTATGGCCGTGGCAGGCTTCTTGCTAACTGTTCTTTTATCTTAAATTAACCCATTTTTATAAATCTATACCTTGCCACGTGGCTGGTGGCTTACTGGCGTCTTTACATGCTGCTTGTCCTGGAGGCGGCTGCAGTGTCTCTCCCTCCTTCTTCCCGTTTCCCCAATTCTCCTCTCTCCTTGTCCCGCCTATACTTCCTGTCTGGTCACTGGCTATCAGTGTTTTATTTATATAGAGTGATATCCACAGCAAAAGCCCACCCTTAGTGACACACTTCATCCAACAAGGCCACCCCTCCTAATCCCTCCCAAGTAGTAGAACTTGCTGATGACTAATTATTCAGACATTTGAGTCTATGGGGCCATTCTTATTCCAACCACCACAGCTGTTTATAATGTCACATATTTTCTTGACAAAGTCATTGTCTTTTACTTTCTTGATTTAGTAATTCTACAATTTATCCATCAACACAGAACTTCATGTTGTAGTTAAAGTTTTGCAAAGATCTTCATCTTTGCAATAAATTTGCTAAGAAGGAATTGCTGGTTCAAAAAAGATGTCTGCTTTAAAGCTTTTGTTATGGGGCTGGAGAGATGGCTCAGCAGTTAAGAGCATTTGTTACTCTTGCAGAGGACCTGAGTTCAATCCTCAGCACACACATAATGGTTCACAACCATCCATAACTCTGGTTCCAGGGAACCAGATGCCCTCTTCTGGCTTCTGCAGGCACCAGACATTCGCATAGTGCATAGATATCCATGCAGGCAAAACAATCATACACAAATTAATATATATATACACACACATACACACACACACACACACACACACACAGATATAGATATGAAAACAAGGCTTTTAAAAATGTACCAGGTAGCTATAGTTCTCACTGAACAACCAACAGAAGGTATTTGTTAAAGAGAGATTAAAAGGAACAAATTGAGGTTATAGCAAATACAACTGTGTTCTAGAAATGGGAAATATTTCATGTAATAATAAGGGTGCCATGATATTGGTAACTCTAGCATAATAATTACATTTCCAGTAGATTATTTGCTGTAATAGTAAATAAAATAGTAGTACAGTAAAAATTTTCATTTTAAAAAGCTGTTAGCTTGCCTGTCATATTCACTTATAGTAGTCTGTTCAGGTTGGAAACTATGAAAACCATGTGAGGATTTCCCAGGAGGGATCTGCTGGAGGTCCTGGACTTACACACTTCTGCTTGTTCCCTCTTGGTTGTCTTATTCCGTCTGCCTGGTGGCTGGCCTCCCTCTTCCCATCATTGGGAAGGGCACATCCTGGAGTCTACATCATTACACAAGGGCTACCCCAGTTCACTTTGAGGTTCAGCCCATGTTGAGCCCTCTGCAACACATAGACTTCTCCTTACATTTAGTTCTTGCTTGGAGCAAGTCCTTCACCCAGTAGTCAACGCCTTTTCTACTTCATCAATCGCTGGAGTTAGCCTGTTAGATTTAGAAGAGCTTTCAGATGTACTTTGGGGAGCTTTTGTTTGTTTGTTTGTTTGTTTGTTCGTTTCTCTTCTCCTGTGGGTAGCTACGGTCCCTTTACTCTTGCTTCTGGCCCAACCGTGCTTTGAACATTTCTGATGGGTGTCCTGTGCTCATTTGATACCATAACTCCTGGAAGCAGACCTGGGAGCTCCAAGAGCAAAGGAATCATGGCTTGTCTTTTACCTCTTGCCAAGCGAAGGCTTCAAAGAGCGGCAATTACTAATATTCTTGATGGTCTCCAACAATCTGAGACTACTGGTCTTGGCTCAGCCCCATGTCCTTACAGACCTTCATAGTGGTTGCCACCAGAAAGTGCATCTTTTCTAGTTTACAATTTCACAGTACCTTAATCACAACAAATACCCTATGGAGTATATAGGAATATTCTTATATTCCCTTTGTCTCACATAAGGCTACTATACACAATATTGTGACTTACAACTATTTAACTTAGGATTATTTGGCTTATTTTTTGTAAAGGTTTTAAATGCTATTTCTAATGTTTTTGTTTGTGTTTAGATTTTTAAAGACAGGGTCTCTATGTAGTCTTGGCTGTCCTGGAGCTTGCTGTGTAAACCAGACTGGCCTCACACTCACAGAGATCCTTCTGCACTGCCATGTCTAGCTATTTCTAATGTTTTTATGGACACATCCATTAGGAAACAACTTTAAAACTTGATAGTGAGTAGCAGCATGCAGCTACAATTCCTAGCCAGCCACATGGTCACAAATAAGGAAAACTTGACAGTCTACAATATCCTCTTAGACATGACATTCAGTGGATTACATGTGTCTTGTCTTTTTTCTTTTCTATCTTTTTTGGTGAAACTCCTAGTGACTAAACATAAGGACCTGTGCATGCTAGGCAAGTATACTACCACTGAGCTACACCTGTGGCTTAGCATGCATTCTGGACTTAAAATATCTTAAACTTCACATGCAATGATTGGGAAGTTTATTTTAAGTTGAGGATTATTAGTACAGTTAATATACCTCATATGTTACTTTTTAAATTTACTATATGCACATATATATTTCTGGGTAGGTGTGTAGGTATGTGGTGTATGTGTTTGTGTGGGTGTGTGCATGTGAGTCCTTATTATATAGCATGTGTTTTACCAGCTGAGTTATGTCACCCAATGTCATTTCATGATATCTTCCGTATTCTGTTTTCGTATGATTCCATGTTTATCATATGTACATGTGTGTACCATAGTTTATTAACCCATCCTCCTATGCATGTATTCCAGTGTTTTGCAACTTTAGGCAATAGGTTTGAGTTTTTAAAGTACAGTACATGTTACAAATTAATATACATAGCTATAACTTGATCTAATACATTAATGTAATTCACAAACATTAAGGTTTTTGCTGTCTGGGAATTAATAAGAAAACTGAAGAGAGTTCTAAAAGGTGAATCATTCATTTGAAAAGGCAATCAATTTTGTATTACATTCTACTGACTAATGTAGCTGAGGAAACCTGAAAAGAAATAAATCTACTTGTTAAAGTTATATGGAAGGACAATGCATTCTAGACGCACAAAGTTAATGATGTGCTGAAAAAAAATACCATTCCATCTCTTAAAACTAGACTGAAATCTTTACAAGAAACGCTGGGAAGTTTTTTGAAAGTTATTAAGTGATTTCAACATGACATGTCCTCCACGGGCAAATGCATTCGAACACCGTTTCCCTAGTTGCTGGTGCTGTTTGGGAAGGTTGTGGAGAGTTCCTGGAGGAAGTCGGTCACTGGGGTTGATCCTCGAGGTTCTGTGGGCTTCCCTCACATCCTACTTACTTTCTGTTTCCAGCCAGTGTGTGCAATGTGGCCAGCAACCTCCCAATCCTATGGCCGTGTTTTCTCTGCCATGGTGGAATCGATCTCATCAAGTGATAATGCAAAATAAATTCTTCCTTCAGTTGCTTTTGCCAGGGGCCCTAGTTAGCCTTAACTGTCACTATCCCGTAGCCCCCAATCACCTGAAAAAGGGTACAATTGAGTAACTGTTTTTATTTGGTTGGGTTGTGGACATGTCTGTGAGTGATTATCTTGATTGTTGTAATTGATGGAGGAGGGCACAGCCCACTGTGTGTAGTGCCATTATTTTCTGGACAGATGGTCCTGAGCTATATAAGAATGATAGCTAAGCTTGGGCCTGTGAGTGAGTCACGGCGTAAGCCAGCAAACAGAGTTCCCCATGGTTTCTGCTCTGACTTCCCTTGATGAGGAACTGTGGCCTGGAAGTGCAATCCAAGTAAATCCTTTCTTCCTTCAAGTTGCTTTTGGTCAGTGTGTTTTATTATAGAAACAGAGAAGTAACTAGAACACCAGGAATTTTGTCATAGCAACAAGATATACAACTAATCAAGAAGTTTTGTCAGTTTAAAATTTGTGTT